ATCTTAATCTTTACAACTCTTGCTTTCTTGTAGTTTGACTGTGGTGAAAGGAGTTTGCTCTGCTAGTCACATGTCTTTTTATAAACTCCTGATTGATTAATTTCCAAAATACTACCCTCTAATCCATTTCAGTAAAAATCTAGACCAATTATTTGCAAGCACAGCTGGAGTAGCACAGACTTGTTTAGGTATCATCTTGAACAAGTATCAGCACTCAGATAAGGCACAAAAAGAAAATCAAATAAACTCCTTTGCAAAACACCAAGCAGACTTCAGATGACCCTATTTCCCCATCCAGCATTTTCATCTCTTACCCTTTCTGCTTCATATCCCTCCACCCTGTAACACGCATGCTCTGTCTCTCCTTCTCACCTTCGTGTTCTCTTTCCTTAAACTCGCTTTCCTTCACCCCGCTTCTTCATCCCACTGCGTAGTTATTTCGCCCTCAGTCCTGTTCTCTTCTTATTACTGCTCCCACCAACTCCTGTTTATTCTGAATCCACACTCTGACAAAAACTCTAGGGAATCACATTCCCATATTACCTCCTTCACCCTTCAGTTTCTCCTAACTGCTTGAGATATGTCTTTCTTCTTTAACCTAATTGTGATTATCGATACCTTTCTTGAAAAATCTGTCTCTGCCTTGCCTCTCCTGCAGCTCTTTCCAATGGTGGCCTGCTCTGGACTCACTTTGCAGACCCAGTGGATGAAAAGAAGGTGGGAGTTGGAATCCTTGCATCTCCACAAAGCACCTTTCAGGTTCTTCAGTCACTCTGTTCACCTCATTTGTAGCTTCCTGTATAAATCTTTTTTCTTCAGTTTCTATGAGAATTGCTGTGATCTGTAGGCCTCTTGGACGGATATCAAGCTTCCCTGATGACTTCTCTGCCTGGATAACCTACTTTCTCTCCTCTAAAATTCTTGCAATCATCCCTGTTAATGTTAACACTCCAACTACTTCTAATTTCTAAGGCTAATCTTCTCCTTCGACCTACCACAATAGACACACAGGTCTACTTACTCAGATGGCAGCTCCCTTGACCTTGTATTCATCTACCTCTGCACTCCTTGCAACCTCTGCAACAATTCTTTCCCCCCCCCCCACCATCACTCTGTCCATGACCATTAAAACCTTGCCAAACAGATGACACAAGAAGTCTCAAAAGACATAGCCGCAGTCTTGAGCTTCTGTGATGTAAAACTAAGTCCCAGCATGAATTCGCCTAGTATAACTCTGCGCTCCAAAAGTACAATTCCTGCTTCCACACTGCCAAAATGACCTATTTTATCATTCTCATTCACACTCACTTACACAGTCCTTGTCTACTTTTATTTCTCCAAAATATGCACTGGCCGCCCTTATACTTAAAAAGCCACCAATCTTAACCTAAGAACAATATATTTGCTCCTGTATAACTCCAAACTCCTAGAATGGTGCTCCCATCTCCTAATCTATAACCATCTGAGCTACCACATCACTAATAATACATTTCTTGACCCCTGTCATTCTGGATTTTGCCCACAACACTAAACAAACTGATTTCCTAAAACTTGCTAATGACTTACTAACTGCTAAAACCAATAATCACTATTCTGTACTCCTACTCCTGGACCTTTGATACAGTTGACCACCCCCTCCTCTTAAAAAAACTGTATCTCCTTGCTCTCCATGACTTACGTTTGCTGGTTCTCCTCTTACCTATCTCACTCCACCATCTATTTCACATACAAGTCTACCTCCTCCTCTCCCTCTTTCCATTGGGGTTCTCACAAGGCTTCATTCTTGAATCTTTTCTATTCTCTATCTATGCCTATTCCCTGGATTAGCCTGCAGCAACTTTGCTTCCTATATCATGTATATGCTGATGACAGCCAAATCTATATTTCTACACCTCGGCTCATCCCATAATTCTCACACATTCGTGATTTACTAATGGACATATCTGTATGGATGTCACTTCCTCAATCTATCCGAAACTGAGCTCATAATATTTCCTCACCCTGTGTGTCCTCCCCTGACTTCTCAGTTAAGATCATTGGCATTACATTTTAGTCCCTCCAAGCATGCCAGGGTGCTAGGTATAATGCTGGACTCTAAGTTCTCGTTTCAACCCCATATCCAATCACTGTCCAAATCTTGCCACCTCAACCTCTGTTACATCTCCAAAACATGCCCCTTCTTAACCAACAACACCATAATGATACTTGTTATCTCTCTTCACAGCGTTAGCAACTCCCTCCTTGTTGGCTTATCTTTACATAGGCTATTCCCCTTAAGTCCATGATGAATGCAACTGCCAGACTCATCCACCTTACCAATCATTCAGTATCCACTAACCCTCTCTGCCAATCCCTCCATTGGCTTCCACTCACACATGAAATAAAATTCAAAATACTACATCACCGACCTAATCTCAAAATACCAACCAAACCATTCTGTTTGCTCCTCCCAAGACCTCCTGCTCTCTAGCTCCTTTGTCCCTGCCTCCCATGCTTGCCTGCAGGTACTTTGTCCTCTGGAACTCCCTAACCCCAATCTGTCTGACTATTTCCTATTCTATCCACCTTTAGACAATCCCTGAAAGCTCATCATTTAACAGAGTCCTATTCTACCTCGAACTAATAAACTATACTTTTACTTTCTCCATCAGGGCATCCCTCATGGTTATTACATTTTGTATCATTTTCCCTTTCCATAAAGACTGTAAGCTGTAACAAACAGAACTCTTTTTGCATTGAATTGTATTGTAACTTTGCTTTCTCCCTCCATTTTGTAAAGTGCTGCACAAACTATTGGCACTATGTAAATCCTGTAAAATAATAATTGTGGGTATTATTCATAACTTTTGCATGAATGCTGAGGCATTCACATGGCAAATTTTTATAGAGACCTCTTAATGTTCATGTGACTAAAGTGATCAAATACTTTCTATATCTGCTACTAGCAATCACCAAAGTTCATTATGACAACAGTACTTTATGACAACAGTGGCATTTAACCAGTGAAACTAACCTTTCAAAATCACTAACATGTCACCAGCAAATAAAAACATTGAAAAAGTTTCCATAAATTTGAAACAGTTTTAACCTTTTGAAATGCAGAACAAGGAGGAATGTTGTGTTCTGATGTGCTTGGAAGCAATAAATGTTTGACAGCACATTGAGGAAATGACTAGGCTTGTGGTTCTTGAGTTTCATTTCTGTCAGTAACCCTCTTTATGCAAAGTTTACATTTCCCCTGGGTTTATGAAGGTTGCTTTCCACAATACTAAAATGTACTATTAGCTTCAAATACCTGCAACTGACACCTCTGTACATGTACATGACTGTGGTAGCAACATTAGATGGTAATCACCTTCTGGGACAAGAACTAATGTCATTGGTTTAGTGTTTTCTGTAAGTCGATGATGAAAAGCCTTCAGCAATACATACCGTACATACTGTACATACTGTACATGAGTAAAATGAAAAACATGAACTAGCAATAATACGAATTTCATGTGTTCCTAAAACTAAAATATTAAAAACTAATCGACCTCAATGCACCGTTTAATTGGGCAACTGAGTGGCAAATGAGGTTTAATGTTAATAAATGTAAAGTTATGCACTTGGGGGGCTAAGAATATGCATGCATCATACATACTAGCGGGAGTAAAGCTGGGGGAATCAATGGTGGAGAAGAAACCATAAGTTTAACAATGGCATGCAATGCCAAGCTGCAGTTTTCAAAGTGAGCAAAATCCTCTCTTGTATTAAAAGAGGTATAGACTCCAGAGAGAGAGATGTCATATTACCCCTGTACAAATCATTAGTAAGACCTCATCTGGAATATGCAGTTCAGTTTTGAGCACAATTCACAAAAAGAACATTGGGGAACTGGAGAAAGTACAGAGAAGGGCAACCAAACTGATAAGAGGCATGGAGGAGCTCAACTATGAATTTATTCTCTCTTGAGAAGAGGAGATTAAGGGGGATATGATCAACATGTATAAATATATAAGTGGTCCACATAATGAACTCATTGTAGATTTATTTACCTTAAGGTCATCACAGAGGACAAGGTGGTACTCTTTACATCTGGAGGAAAAGAGATTTAATCTCCAAACACGGAAAGGTTTCTTCACAGTAAGAGCTGTGAAAATCTGGAATAGATTCCCTAAAGTGTTATTTCTGGCCAGCTCAGTAGATTGCTTTGAAAAAGGCATTCTTTCCTAGATACACATAATATAACTGGATACTAACATTTATAGGTAAATAATCCAGGGAATATCCAATTGCCTCTCGGGTGGATCAGGAAGGATTTTTTCCTCTGCAGGAGCAAAATGGATCATGCTTTGCTGGGGTTTTTATACCTTCCTCTGGATCAACTGTGGTTATAGGGTTATTATTTTTTTATTCACTTTTATGGTTGAACTAGATGGATTTGTGTCTTTTTTCAGCCAGACTAAATATGTAACTATGTAACTAGCAGAAAGCTGGAACCAAGGACTTAAACTAGGGAGCTCTGGTGCCATGTGAGCAGAAGCACTGCAATGAGGGCACTTTTAATTCATCAAGTCCAGTAAAGAGCAGAGCTGGATCACAAGCTGAATTCAGTAACAGTCAAACAGAAAAGAATCAAGGTCAGGGACAAGCAAAGGTTGGCAACATGTATGCAGTGAGGTACAGAATTGTTAGGCAAAATCTTGGTTAAGAGTCCAGGCTAAGGTCAGTAACAAAGGCTGCAAACAGACAGGCAGGGATAATCCGGAAGCAAATCAGAACTGGATCAATAGCAGGGTCATACAGGTTCAGGATCAAGTATAACAAGCATTAAGCAATGATCTCATGCAGGTTCTTTAACCGCCTCCTGCCCACCATATAAGGAAATGATGGACGGTGGAGGTTCTCTCATTCTGGGAGGACATCATATGATGTCCTCCCACTCTAGCTGCGCACGCGCGTCGATCAGTGGAGCGCTGTGTCCCTGGGACACAGCAGATCACCGATCACAGTAAAGAGCCAATGACACAGGCTCTATCATGTGATCAGCTGTGCCCAATCACATGCAAAAAGGAAATTCCAGCTATCAGCAGTCCTCTCCTCACGCTGACAGCGCATGAGGAGAGGAGAGCCGGTAAGCGGCATTGCTCAGAGAGGACATCTTCACTGATCATCAGTGCTCTGATGATCAGTGTAGCCCCATCAGTGCCACCTGTCACTGCCCATAATTGATGTCTGTAAGTGCCCATCATTGCCACATACCAGTGCCCGTCAGAGCTGCCTTTCAGTGCCAACTATCAGTGCCAGTCAGTGCCGCCTATCAGTGCCCATCAGTGCCACCTAACAGTTCCATTCAGTGCTGCCTATCAGTGCAAAGTCAGTGCTGCCTATCAGTGCCATATATGATTGCTACCTTTCAGTGCCCATCAGTGATGCCTGTCAATGCCCACCAGTGATGCCTGTCAATTCCTATTAGTACTGCCTATCGGTGCCTCCTCATCAGTGCCGCCTATCAGTGCAGCCAATCAGTGCCCATCACTGCAGCCTCATTAGCGCACATCATTATAGGAGAAAAATTACTTATATTCAAAATTTTATAACAGAAACTAAGAAAAAAAACTTTTTTTTTTCAAAATGTTCAGTCTTTTTTAGTTTGTTTAGCAAAAAATAAAAAACCCAGTGGTGATTAAATACCACCAAAAGAAAGCTCTATCTGTCTCAAAAAAAATTTAAAAAATGTAGTTGGGGTACAATGTTGCATGACATTGTCATTCAATTGACAATGTCATTCAATTGGTTTGCACAATCTCTCTGACAGCTAACACAATGTTCTTGACATAGAATTTAAAAAATTGCCATAAACTCTTTCAAGAGGTATTAAACCCAAAGTAAACATTTATTTTATTGCAGCTTCCTAATTCTTAGATGTAACGGCCACATTCCTTTTCTTTTTTAGCCTTTCTTTCTTTTACTTTCACCTAGTGATCTGGCCAGTCAGTCTGTTATTTTTCAACAGAAAAAGCTCTACTGCAAATGTATTGATTGAGAGTGTTGAGACAAACCATTTACCACTTACAGGGGTGCTTGCAATGATCAGCTTTTATTAAGTCATGTAAAACGTTTATCCCAAAAGGGAAAAAACTGTTTGCTGTAACTGCTTGTGTAACTGCAGTGTGAGCAGGAGTTTAGCTTTAATTTGTTAGCTTATTTAAATATGCTAGTACATATAACACTCCCCTCCCCCCAGACTGACAATTCTGATGTCTGCTGTGCCCCCCATGCTCCTTCATCCAGAGTGGGGGCACTCTAATACAGGAGGTGTGTTACTGGCTAGGTCACCAGGTGAAAACATAAGGAATAGAAGCCAAGTAAAGAAAACTAATGCAGCCACCACATCTTATGATTGGTAAGCTGTAATATTTTCCATTATAGGTTTTGGGTTTAATACTGCTTTAACGTATAAAAACTAGTGTGAGGAACTGTTCAGGTACATATAAAACCCCAGTTAATTTATACTTCACATTCAGAGGAAAACTGGTTGAGCCTAGAATATAGATTCTCTTTTCAGTGTAGCTATAAGGTGAAGAGCAGAATATAATTTACAATGATAAGCTCTATACATTAAGGTATGTGTACACCTTGACATGATGATCAGCAATGACATAGTCACTTCTTTATGAGTATAAAAGGTAATAAGGGCTCCTTTTGCAATTTATTGGTGGCATACCTTAGAGATTGTGGGGTTGATTCACTAAGGCTGGCCATACACTATACAATTTTCTGTCCAATTTCTGCCCAATTTCCTTTAGATTTACCTTCACTATGTTGTGCAAGAGCCTGCCTAATTGGATACAATTGAAAGTGTTGTTTGGGTTTGACCTCCTATTATATGGTTTTTGCTAAATCTAAACCAAAAATCTCAAGAAAATTGTACAATGTTTGGCCAGCCTAAAACTGAAAAGTGAAAAGTCTGGTGCAGCTGTGCATGGTAGCCAATCAGATTCTAACTTCAGCTTGCTCAATTAAGCTTTGACAAAAACAAAAAATGGAAGTTGATTGGTTTCTATGCACAGCTGCACCTGTTTTTACACTCTCCAATTTTAGTAAATCAACCCCATTATCAACAGTAGAATGCAAAAACTCACTGGAGAGGAAAAAATGGTTTATACTAAGTAGATTTACATATTTAATAGTAAAGTTGTTCACTAAACTATATGCTAGTCATTTATACTGTTAAAAGTATAACCATGTGAGGGATACGCTTGTCATAAAAGCTAAATAAGAAATTAAGCTGAACACATACTGTAGATGACAGCTTACAAAATTGTTATCCATTGTGAAGCAGCTGTCTATTGTAAATGTACACATCACACTTCCCAACAGTCTACAGTCAGATTACCTATCTCTTGTGTCTTTTTTCAAATATTCATGTTTTACAATTTACAATTGTGAAACAATATCAGAGGCTTATTATTAACTTTTTCAATTATTTTGGATCCTCTTGAATGTTAATGATTGCATATTCTTGCCTTATTTCCTCTGCTATAATGAAGAACTTAATAAGAAATGTAAACCTAGTACCCTGTTGATTTCTAGTGCTTTTGTTCCAATTTAATAACCCTGTGTTAGGTTATGTATATACCCTCTGAAAAGGCTTTACCACTAAATGAACATGATATCTTGTTTAATTAGCATTTTCAAATGCCTTAAATCCATTGATTGCTGTAAAAAGTCAATATGGTTGAAATTAGGTTTTGGCCTAAGAAACGGCTTACAAGGTATTGCTTTTTACATAGTACGGATGATAGCTAGAAACCTGTAGCTATGATGAATTAGCGACTATATCTTTCCTGTAACTTTTTGTTGTCAAACACCCATTTCTTTATCAGTAAATATAATATTTATATCATTGCAGTTTGTATAATGCACAGATCCATTTAATTCCATATCTTTCCTATATCAAAAAATTAGAAAATTTAGGTGATGCCGGTTTGCCCATTGTTGACTCAAGGAGATAATAGTACCACCTACCACTAAAAAGAGGTTCAACTTGGGTCAAGAGAATATTCAAACCTCACATTTACACGGTATACTCATCCACATTAAGTATTTGCCTCCAAACTCTTTTTGTGTGGAATTTGGCTATAGAAACGTACTACTTCCGCTGAGCAAAAGTAAATTCTAAATGCTGTAAATCAAACATACTATAGCTATTGTAATTTAAATATTCAGTGTGTCATACTTATAAAGACTTCCTCAGCTCTGGTTTAGTATAACTCTGTACTTAGATAGGGGTTCTGTCAGTGAACCCCTTTAGCCTGAATAAATCATAATAGGCTTGATAATTTAACATTTTCCCAGGAAAACAAATCATGACATTGATTACTATAAATGGGATTGGCACTCTCCAGTACTCCCCATGCCTAGGAGGGGATCACACAAGGAAGTAGGGGGTTTAACTGTAGTCAGGCTGCTATCCCCTGCCTTGTGTTGTAAGAGGTTCTGTAGGACTTCCTATTAGTTCAGATATGGATCCAAAACAAACAAATATGCTCACAACAGTTTTTATTGAAGTAAACATACTACTACACCCTTCACCACACAAATTATCTATTGGAGGTCTTTTCCATCACATATTGGGTATATAAAACTTATCAGAGTTTGAAGGGTCATTTAGGCAAATGTGGCATATCAGCTATAGGTCGAGTCTGGTGGCCTCAGTAATCAAAAAGAAATCTGACTGTTGAAGCAGGACTTCCTTTGAACTTTGAGATGGAATGACCCTTTAACTGGAGAGCAAGAGGCTTCCAATGCTTCATCACTAATCCCTGGTCAAATGATAATTGATTATATCCAGTTTCAGGCATTCAATGGCACAGAGAATTATAACAAAATTATCATTCTGATATTCACTTGCAATTTCCAGTGTCTGCAAAGTCAATCTCTAAAAGAGAGTATATACAGGAGGAAAACGCACAACAAGATAGAGAACCAAAATGTATTATTTTTGGTAAATTACAGTAAGATTCTTAAAACTGACGTGAATTGGTAAATGACCATTTTACAACTTTATAATGCATATAGAACTCATTCCATGTAGGAACTGATTCCTGGCATGCAGGGTTTCCACCCAGGTAGTCCTGTGCCTTTAAGACAAATTTTAGTGAAGAAAATATATTGAAAAGATTGACCCCTTCTCCCAAAACACACACACATACACACACACACACACACACACACACACACACACACTTACTTTTTTGTCTTTGTGAGTCATAACACTTAGGGGTAACTCTGTTATTGGTCATTTATGTTTACTAATGTTCATTCATATTAAAGGGGAAGCATACTGGTTTGGAGTCTGTTTTATTTTTTAATGTGTTTTTAACATGCTTTTTTTAATCTTTTTTTACTTTATATACAATCTTTGTTTTACGAATAATTATTTTTACATATGGTGACAAAGGATTCTCAAAGCACCGTGGATTACCTTAAAAGGAACCACAGCAGAACTGCTTGCTTTGAGACACAATTTGCTGATTGTTGATAAGTCACTAAATTATAACAAGACATCTGTTTAAAAGGTAGAAGGAACCTAAAGCTTCACCTGCTGGCTCAAAAGCAGAAATCCAAACATGAATATTCTATATGTCATATTTACCTAAAAAAATGGAAAACATTTTGAAAATGGTATTTCCTTCAGTCTGACCGTTATAAATAAAGAAAAAAAATGTGCTTGCAAATAATTATACATTTCCTTTACAGTAAACCTATTTTGAAGAAGAATTAAATACTCTGTTTTTTGATTTACTATATTCATACCCACCAAAGAAACATTGCACAATATTATTTTCTGTTTTGTGGTAAGCACAATCATTTTTTTACTATTGAAAGCAACTTGATGACCACTCAGCTCCTCTTCGAAGAACTTCTGGTTGTGGAGCAAGCACTTTACACTTCATATGACTGCCTTCATTTTGACCACATGTTCCACCATCCCTAAGGCCATCTAACACAGCACATGCATGTCCCATTCTTATAGAGGTTCATAGAGTCTTGGGAGCAGGGGCGGACTGATAACTCATGGGGCCCTGGGCAATAGGGGATCATGGGGCCCCTGTGTGCTTGCCCAAACTCAAAAAAGCCTATGAAAAATGTACCAGGGGCATCTCATGGTGCCCCCTACTGACCCCGGGCCCTCGGGCAGTAGCCGAGTTTCCAAATGGTCAGTCCGCCCCTGCTTGGGAGTCACTGTCAATCAAATGCCTTGGAGAAGGCAAGGGGAAATAACTTGATGTCATGGGATTTGGTTTGTCTGTGTGGGTCAGTGTACATAGATTTGGATTAACTGTGGGTATAGGATAGTGTATATGGAGGTTTT